TTTTGGGGGTTTTTGGGGGGTTTTTGGGGGTCTTTGGTTCTCTCTGAGGTATTTTCTGCCCCTCCCCCCCCCGGGGCCTCTTTGGCTGCAGGAATTTGGGGGGGAGGGGTCGGTGACGTCACGGGGCGTGGCGGTGACGTCATAGGGGCGGGAGTGACGTCACGTGGAGGGAGTGAGGTTGTGACGTCATAGGGGCCGGGGATTGGGGGTGTGGCTAGTGTGGGGTGGGCGTGGCCGCCATGATGGTGGTGGTGGCCACCAAGGCCGCCATGATTGTGGCCACCATGGCCGCCATGAGAATGGCCGCCATGACCACCATGGCCGCCATGATGATGGACGCCATGACCATGACCATGGCCAGTGCCACCATGATGATGACCATGGCCACGGTGACCATGACCATGGCCGCCACGACCACCATGGCCACCATGATGATGGCCGCCATGACCATGGCCGCCATGACCACCATGGCCGCCATGATGATGGCCGCCATGACCATGACCATGGCCAGCGCCACCATGATGATGACCATGGCCACCATGACCATGAAAATGGCCGCCATGACTACCATGGCCACCATGATGATGACCATGGCAATGACACCACGATGATGGCCACCATGACCAGTGTGACCACCATGGCCGCCATGACCACCATGGCCGATGTGACCACCATAACCACCATGATGATGACAATGGCCACCATGGCCACCATGGCCACCATGACGATGGCCACCATGGCCACCATGGCCACCGTGACCATGGCAATGGCCACCGTGACCACCATGGCCGATGTGACCACCATAACCACCATGATGATGACAATGGCCACCATGGCCACCATGGCCATGATGATGGCCACCATGACCACCATGGCCATGATGATGGCCACCATGACAATGGCCACCATGACCACCATGGCCACCATAATGATGGCCACCATGGCCACCATGATGATGACGATGGCCACCATGACCAGTGTGACCGCCATGACCATGATGATGGCCACCATGACGATGGCCACCATGACCACCATGGCCACCACGACCATGAAAATGGCCACCGTGACCACCATGACCAGTGTGACCACCATGACCATGATGATGGCCACCACGGCCACCATGATGATGATGATGGCCACCATGGCCACTGTGACCACCACGACCACCATGACCAGTGTGACCGCCATGACCATGCCAATGGCCACCATGACCAGTGTGACCACCACCATGACACCACCATGGCCACCATGACCACCATGACACCACCATGGCCACCATGGCCACCAGGGCCACCAGGACCCTTCCACGTCCCCCCGTGGCCACCACCCCGGCCCCGTGGCCACCTCGGGCCCCGCCCCCGTTTTTGGTTCAGTTCTGAGGTATTTGGGGAGGGGGAGGGGCGGCCCCGCCCGGGCCCCGCCCCCCGCGCCGGGCGGCGCCGATTTTTGGTCTAAAAACGGCAACTTTGGGTCAAAAAACGCCGGTTTCGGTCAAAAACCGCCGG